GGAGCACAGACTTTTGCATAACGCATAAACCATATACATAAAGAATTTGATTGGTCCATTGACTCATGCATAAGAAAATGGGCCAATGAAATTCCTTATGCACATGCTTTATGCGTTATGCAAAAGTCTGTGCTCCCCGCTTAAGGGTGCGTCCCGATGGAGAAAGAAATAGCAGAACGGAATGAGAACGGAACATTGATAGAAAAGAGATAGGATTGTTCTATCTATTTTCTATCAATGTTCCGTTACTGTTCCGTTCCATTATTTCTGACTTCATGTGACTGCCCCTAAAGGTGCTTTTTCATGCGCAGCACGCTGCAGCAGCAATTCGTTACTATTGGTTAAGAATTTTAAGTAAGCTAGATGACGCACTTCCGGCGCAAAATACATTTTGCCGCAGTTCGTTGAAGTTGAACCGAACGAACAGCAAGCAGCAAGCGGCAAAATCGAGGCAATATTATTTATTGCAATAAATATTAGGAAAATTAACGAAGAATGGCTTCGGATAAGGTACGAATGTTTGTAAATTAGATCATTTTATACTTTACACTTTACTTTTTCAAATTTGTGGTAAAGTATAAAATGATCTAATTTACAAACATGTATCCGTACCTTATCCGAAGCCATTTTTCGTTTATTTTCCTAATATTTATTGCAATAAATAATATTTTTATAATGAAACGACGGACATATTGTACGCTTTCTCGATTTTGCCGCTTGCTGCTTGCTGTTCGTTCGGTTCAACTTCAACGAACTGCGGCAAAATGTATTTGCGCCGGAAGTACGTCATCTAGCTTACATAAAATTCTTAACCAATAGTAACGAATTGCTGCTGCAGCGTGCTGCGCATGAAAAAGTACCTTAAGGGTGCCGTCCCATGGCACGGAAAACGGAATCGGAAAAGTGAAGTGGTAGGGGCAACCAATCAGCATCGTTCCGTTCCGATTTTAAGTAGCCTGGTTCCCCATGGGGCATATTTTTCGGAAACGGAAATTTTTCGTACTCTGTCGGTCGCTGGCGATCACTAGCAATTAGGTTAAGAAAAACCTGAAACACGGATGGAGGAAGAAGAAGAAGGTTTTGAGTACTGAAAAATTTAAGTAGAGAATGTCATGTGTAAGTATTGTTAATTATATGTTTGCTAAGTTATTTTATATTAGATTATGGTGATGGCCTTGCATACATTTTTAACCTAACATTATATGTACATTGTATATTATATATTATATATATATATGATATATATTGATATATACACATATATAAGGAGATATACATATTTAATTATATATTTGACACTTTTTAAAAGTTCCTGCTATTCACAATTCATTCACTTGTATGAAATTATTACAGTTTTAGTCTTTAGTATTCGGTGAAATTAATTTCAGATGCTGTTAAATACGAAGAACATAAAAAAAAGGAATGTATAAATAAAGAAACATCTACATCGTTAGAAAATTTTAGCAATAACAGCGATTCAGATATTCCTAAGAGGAAAAGAAAACACAAAGAAAACGATCGTGAATACAAATCTAAGAAATTGAGTAAAAAATCAGAAACCCATCAAAGAGATTCATTTGATAGCGATAGTAGTAGTGATACCCATAGCAACAATAAGAAAAGCAATAAAACTCGAAAGCGTTCCAGTAGTAGCGATAGGACTAAAAGGACAAAAAAATCCAAGAAACACAAAGGAAGAGATAGGGAACGACAAAAAGATAAAATATCAGGATCTTTTGAATCTATCGATAGAAGAAGGTCTAAAAAACATAAATCTTGATCATCTAGTAGACGGTAATGTATGTAATATAAAAATTGCAACGTGTATAACGTGTAAATATTTCAAGTTCTCTACTGACTTGTACAATTTTGTTTGTATCTCCCTTTTTTAAATAAAACTTATTTTTTTTACATGATTTAATCTTTTTCAGATAAATTCCTAATTGTACCTTTTTTTTTGTATTTTACGTGTAAATGTACAATATAGCTGTTTAATTAATCATTTAGGTACATATTGCAGCTTAGTGTACATCATTCTTTGTGCATTAAGCCGTAATCGCACTACACAGATCATGATATAAAAACACAGGTATAGCATTGCGCATATGATGTCACGTGTCATGACGTAACGATCGCAGTGAGCTAAAAGTGCAATGCGAAGTGGAGCGAAGTTCAAATGCTAAATTAATCATATATCATGAATATAATTAATCCTTTATCGGTACTGTGGAATTTTTATGGCGTAACTGATATTTTGATTGTAAATTAAAAAAAAAGGATATATAACCAGGTTGCATTTTAAGATAATATTGTGTGTAAAAAGCTGTTGCAATTGTCAATATTTTACCGACTGGTTACGAATATATTTGTGTTTACGTGTTCGAACGTACGTTACAGATCGCTTACAAATTTAACTCGTGTTCACATTTTTTGCCATATACGAGATAGTTTTAGTTTAAAACAGCTGATCCGTAGTTTTTTCAATTGTTTTGTTGCTAAAAGTAAGTTATTATGTCTGTGCTCTCAATGATCCTAAATGTAATCCGCGTATTCCTTCCAAAAAATGTTTTTTATTTTTACATTAATTATAATATAAATAAGCATATTTTATTCATAATTACTAGACTATAATAAACACATATTATATAGTAAGAGCCAATTTTATTAATTTTCTTCATGAACAAAGCTTTTTTGTATTCAAATTTTTATTTCCATATTTTTAGATTGCCAAATAATCTAATTAATTATGTAGCTTTTAAACAGACTGTTAAAGATATTTAAAGATTTTATGAGTGAATCGTTCAAAAGCATCAAGTGCGGTCCAAAGAATAGGGAGAAGCACAGTCAAATATTCTCCTCAAATTTGATTGTGATTGGTTAATTCTTCCAACTACATTTACGCAATTGTAAATCGGGCTTTACACAATCTACGTCATCGAAATAAACAGAAGGAAACTTAACCTATTAGTTGCTTTCCATTTATACACAAATAAAACTAAGTTTGACGTCAGCTGAGTATGAAATACTGAGATTAATGACATATTATTACTACTTGCTTACTTTGGTAAAATTAACAAATAAAGGTACTTTTTCATGCGCAGCACGCTGCAGCAGCAATACGTTACTATTGGTTAAGAATTTTATGTAAGCTAGATGACGCACTTCCGGCGCAAAATACATTTTGCCGCAGTTCGTTGAAGTTGAACCGAACGAACAGCAAGCAGCAAGCGGCAAAATCGAGGCAATATTATTTATTGCAATAAATATTAGGAAAATAAACGAAGAATGGCTTCGGATAAGGTACGAAT